TCATTCGAGTGAATGGAGTGTCTTCTTCAACCACCCCTGAGAATATGGCAGTGTGAGTGTAATTTATTAGAGTGGATTAAGGGGCTTCTTACCCAATTACCTTACGAATTTCTAAAACTCTGGGGTAGTGTGAATGAAATTATTGGCCTCATTGAAGAAGATTCTCCCACTATGACCCCGAAGAATATAGAATACTACGGAGCTGTGTAAATAAGGTTTGGTGTGTGAAAGTAATTTATTAGCGTGAAGGGCCATTTTATATATATAGAATAACTTAGCCGACGATGCATGAATTCTTTTCGACTTTTTTTAATAAGCCCAATTCGACCTAGTATTAAGTATAAAGGAAAGTAAATTTCAGTTTTTTAATTTATATCAATCTTTACAAGCTAAGATTGTTTATACATTTCTTCTTATTATAAACTATTATTTTTTCATTATAAATAGATAGTTGAATTTTTTGTATTCACATTTTGCTGTCATTGTTGGACTATCAACCCTTATGAAAATTGTTTAACGAAGAGTGTAATTTTTAAAAGAAAGCAATTGTCTGATCAAACAATTATTACATTGAATCAAATAAGTTAATTATTTCTGTTCATCCGGACGTCAAAATATTCATTAACAGTTTGCTCTTTTACTGTCACAGATGTGTCAACCTGAACAATATAGCCGTCGGAGCGTGGTAGGGTTCAGATGTAAATGCCCGCGGGGTTGGCCCCGGCATCTGGGCCAGGGAGAGACTCAATGTTTCGGAAGTAACTCCAAGTAACAAGTGTGACCATCCAGAAGTCATCCATTCAACTTCCCTGACGTGATAATGTAGACCTTATGGCATCACAAGCTACATCTATCATACTTGCACAAATGTTTCAACAACTGTTGCTCTTTTTGCCCGTATATTCGCCATTAAAATTTTAAATTCAAAAATTTAATTTGTGACAGGGGTTAGAGAGGAAAAATGCGACGATACACTTTGCAGCTCACGCAATCGAACACCACCCAATTCACTCCTCTTCTTCACCCCAATTTGACTGAATTAAATCTAAAGTGGTTTCCGCTGAGTTTCCACGAGTTAGAAGTTGTTGAAAGCAAAAGGGAGATAGAGTAATGCTAAGAAGTCAAGAGGGTGTGTTAGGGAAGTGGTTAGTTGTGATATTGATCTATCTTGGTCCAATGTCTTACAGCGACCCCTCCTTTACAACACTCGTCCACCGTGTACTAAGAAAATCATAGCATAACTAACCATCCCATTTCACAGACAGTTTTGCCGTATCATTATTTTAATTGAAACTTTCATCGACTTTCGTATAAAAACTCGCTTTAAATTTTCAACCCTGTTGAAATAAAATACGAGACAATGTTTAAAATCCAGGATCAATAATTCGTGAAAGCATCGAACCGCGGTTTATATATTCACAAAGGGCTTTTTGCACATGGGCGTTTATACGCGCTTTTAATCCAAGCGGGTTTTAATCGGCGGCTTTTATTTGAAAGCCCGCCCTGGCCTTGTATAGATAAAATAATATTTTATAACTATGCTTCGCCTGCATGGGAAAAAAAATAATGGCAGTGTGTTTCGGAATATTTGCATGATCGCAGCGTCCCTAGTTGTCTAAATAGACTAGTTTTAACATAATATTAAACATTTATGAACGATAGTCCACCTAAGTGCCTCAATATAATCGCCTGCTGGTTCCAAAAGTATTAGGCTCCATTATTGTGAACTTCAATAGTAAAACATATATTTAAAGTGAGATTAACTGAGTAACTAAACATTTGGCAATACACCAAAAAATTAATACAATAGAAAGTGGTATTTTGATATTTATCCATGTTTTCTGCGTTGTGAAGAACCTAAAATTTGGTCGTTACCGATTATTTTGGTCTGCCTATTCCCACTGGAGGTTTATAGAATGTGACACACTGATAAGGCGAAATGGCGGAACGCGTCTGACCAACGAGGATAGTTGGAACAAAACCCCATTTTACTACTTGACACTTATTTCTTAATAAACATTTATAAGTATCTATATCCAGTTTGTTTGAAAGAAAAAATAGAAGCCATTATTATTATTAATTGGTATAGACTTAAAAAGGAAAATACAAATAGGCAAATAATGGACCATTGAATATTGTCTTTTACTTCTTTATAATTTATGAATATTTTGTTAAACGTAAAAATACAATCATGGGGTGTTGTGAATTTCTACTCAAGAAATATGTCTGAATCTATTCAAATTGTCAATTATTTTTTCATAAATGCAGTATTGCCTTAAAAACAAAATTACCGTAGAAACCAGCAATATAAGAAATGGAAAAAACTAATAATTGGCAACTTGATGGATGACCAAGACCGAAAAGCAAAAAGATTGGCCATAACCTGGTTTTCCTTATCGGAAAATACCAAAGGATAGGCAGGCCTCGATATAAGGATGAAATTCTAGATATTTAAAATAGGAAAAAAAGAAACATCACGATTTACAAAAACTATACTAAATAGTTATTAAAATAAATTTATTTCGTATTTGCTTTTATCTTAACAAAAACATTATTACTTCATAAACGGACTTGAACTAAGTACTAACAACTTGAACAAGAATTTTAGGAAAGAAAGCTTAATTAAATTAATGACGTTTGAACTTTGCCTATCAACGCTAAAGAATTTTTTATAATTATAATTAAACAAGATATTAACAATTTTATTACTTTAATCTAATAGAAGAAAGTACTTCTTTTTCAAGATAATACTTCGAGAAATATGTATTTTGGGTGAACACTTTTCTTATGAATTCTCTTTCTGTACTAGCGGGACGATAAGTTGACCGTAATAAATAAAAAAACTTTAAACCCATAATGACAATAGTTAATTGCCCGTAGGATTGTATTATAAAATCATATCAAGGCACGAACTTAATTACACTTCACTAATATTTTTTTAAAAATTAATGCTATTAAATAATTGTGATTTTCAAACCTGTTATATTTTTAAGTTGGAAAATTTTTTATTTTCTTTGAGTTTTATAACTTTTTCCGTCAAATTAATCCTTTTAAGCTCAACTTAATCTTTTTTAATTTCAAATTAACGATTTTTAATTTCAAATTAACCCTTTCTTTAAATCATTAAAAATCTTACTAAATGGTAAAAGTAAAATTCTTGTATATTTGTGAATTTTTGAATAAAATTGGCTCTTAAAGACTACATGGCAATTAATTATAATTAAAATTAAAAATGATTCTTCTATTAATTAGTTTTATTTCAATTATTTTAAATGTTAATTCAAATTAATTTTCGTATGATTCAAATATTTTATATTAAAAAATTGTAAGTATACAGGGAATTTACTTTATATGCCTTTTTGTAATACTAACTGATAAGGTTTTTAATGCTTTAAAATAAGGGTTAATTTGACGTTAAAAATCGACGGATAAAAGCTATATGTGTGATAATGCAAATAAATAAGCTTAACAAGGGACCAAAAGTGACATTAGCTCTGCCTTAGCGTAATGTTGATAAATTTACCGTATTAATTTTTAAATATCGTAAGGTCCTCAGTAATAAAATTACCAAAAGATTACCTTTCACACCTCCTTTGACCCCTATAATTATTATTTTTTTATGTTCGATTAATAAATTCACAGAGAGAACAATATAAACTATTTTTTAAATGTAAACTGAACTGGGTTCAAAGGACGTTTGATGATTGTATAAAATAGCATTGCTTTATTTGTTATAAAGTTATTTGCCGTTGCCGAACATTTTCGTGTGCTTGGTTTATTTCAGCTTTTCGCCATCTTCAATTTTTTTGTGTGTGTGAAACTAGATATTTGAGTATTTCCGTGAAATTTTGATCTATTTAAAGTATTAATTGCGTAAATACTCTACCGTGTTGATGATGGCGATGAAATAAAAGAGTTTTTCTGACCTGTCCCCTTTAACTTTTTTAGATATTATAAATTATGCTAGCTCCAGGGATATATTAATATAGAAGAATGATTATATTAATGCTACGGTTATTAGTGTTATGAATATCTAATGAATAGGATGGGTCAATTTTTTTGCTACTGGTGTATGTGCTAAGTTTTTCCTGATTTTATTGTATTTTTAGGTAATAGGTAAAAACGTATGTGAGGTATGTTTTCTAATGGAAATAGATAAGCATATTCGTTAAGTTTTGAAGACATTATCCACAAAAGACGTATTTTTCCTCCGAATCAACACCGACCCAGCCGGCCAAAACATCACGTTCGGCATTTGGGGATTATGCGGTTGATAAATTCAAACCCGACTTCCTGGTTGCACCGGGGATCCAGGGGGTGGTAAAGTTGTAAAAACCAGTGCTTGCGTTAAGGGGGGTGCGTATCGGGGGATGCAATCGATTGTAGTCGAGATGGCGACCACCGGCAAAATGGCGTTCGCTACCCTAAACTCCTAACAACACAAGGGTTTTAATCCACGTCCCCCTTTGAGAATTTAGGGCTGTGGAAGACCGATTAAAAAAAATATATATACAAGCCGGATAATAGTTAAGCATATACAAACTGGTAGATTAAATGCAGTGTTTACATTAAATAATCAATCCGCATTGTTATTTTCTTATGTTACTTAAGTATTGACTTAGTATTTTAATATAGAAAATTTTGTTTTATATCTCATACTCGATCATAATTTAAATAGTTATCGCTTTATCTATCTTGTCTGTTTATTAACCTTTTTTTAGGATTGACTTTATACAATGCTTCTGATTGTGCTCGGGGGTGTTTGTTGTTCAGGTTTCGAAGAGGGAGTACAAAAAGTGTTTGAGGGTCGTGTGTAATGCCAAGCCCCTGTGGGACAGCAACACTTGCCTGTAATTAATTGGTACTGCAGGGAGGTGACCTTTACACTGATTGAATACTTGAGCCCTCCCTTTTGTTAAAACCCTTATACCCCCGCATATTGCTTTGTGTGTATTTTTTTTATCTCTTTCCTTTTATAACAGTTTAAAATTTTTTCTTACCTGTTTATCGACGAAACGCTGGGTACGTTGTCCTGGGAGCAGATACCTTCTGCGAGCAGCCGGTCACGGATTTCCCAGGCGAACATGGTCGGGTTTTCACGTTTGTAGTTGGCAATCGCATCCACAACGGGTGCAGTTGCAACTTTAGGCTTGCTTCCACCTATTACCCCAGCCTTGAAGCTTCCTGTCTCGTAATACCTGAAAGAAAAATTATGCATTCTGATCATTATCTTGTAAGATATTTGCCAAAGACAAGTGGATATTAGAATTGGATGTAACTAATAAAAAGTCAAGTCTCTTTAAACATGGTTTTCAAAAGTCAACAAAATGTAAATGAAGAAACAGTAAAAACTTATAAACTTGTCTACTCCAAGGAACTATAAAATCGTATAGAATTGACAATTTTATATATTTTTGCATTAAAGAATAATAGTTTTTTATCTGGTAAGTTCTTGACATTTTAAAAGTTTAACAATGACTTTATTAAAGATTGTGTTCAATATGAAAATTTTATGTAAAAACATGCACGTTGGAGTATGTGAAATTCAAAAGATTTTGTACGGATTGAGATTATACAGTGATTCTGTGTATCAACGAATATAAAACGTCGTCAGGAAGGGCGGAGTATATTTGGTCATTACTCGGGAAGCGTAAGGGGAGTGGAAAGGCCATAACCCGAGCTTTATTTGCATACACTAATCTACTCCGTCCCCCTACCATATATCTACCCGACCCCCCTTACAAAATCTTACATTTTCCCTCGGCTGATTTTTATTCAAATGTCCAGCGGTGTGCTTTACATATGAAAGAACGGGCGAACACACACTGGACTTCCTGTCTTCCCAGGGCAAGTCCTACCCTCCCCCCATTATATATACGTTGCATATTCGAGGGTCTCTAATGGGGGTGGCTTTTTGACTCTGGCCCAGAACCGGAGAGAGAATTAGCTTAAAAACATGGCTTTTACTGGTACACCTCTAAATAAATTATTTTGCGGACAACCCTCGAGTCCTTTCAGTAATGGGCCAGCATGGCTTTGTCCTAACCAGGGCCATCTATTTGCTCTTCCAATAAACAGACCAGACCCTTTCAGCGGAATGTTCAACAAAACAATAAGGATTTGCAGCAACCCTTTTAAGCCGTAAAAACAAAAGACTTTTTATTTGTGAAATTTTGTTTCAATACTCCTAGTATGGCCAATTGAGAAACACCCCAAAAAAATATACCGCATCATCCTCGCAACATTTTTATCGTATGAATATGTTTGAACGAACATTAAGTGACTATTGTGTCCAGAAAAATTAGACACAGATTTTGTGAGATCTTTGTTGATTCTAATGAACTGAACTCTAATGAATCTAATCATATAGAAGTGAGAAGCGATCCATTAATGACAACCCTATCACAGCACTATTCACTTTTCCCATTAGGATAGGAATCAAGAGGTCATTGGAGCTTTAGGCGTATTAGATAGTGATGATAAAAGGACTAGGGGTTAGCATGAGGGTCCAGAATTTTACCGAGGCTGGAGGATATGAAATAGTGAGCCTTGGCAATGGTTCGAAGGGCTTTGGACTGGAGCGACTGGATTGTTTGGAGCTTTCTTGGTTGGACCCCTTTGTTCAAGTCAGTCGTCTCAGTTCTATTATTTTGATTCAACTGTCTGGGTTTCATGTAAGTCTTTGATTGATGTAAAGTCTCAAATAACAGACATTGGCTGCTGGGAGAGAAACAGAGTTATAGTATCTTGGGGCATAGGTGAAAAGGCAAGGGGGAGGGTATTTTGAATTTGGTTTTGTCAAGACTGATCCTACATTTCTCGAACCATACTTCCAAACAGGAGTAATCATCCAGGAAGGCCAGGTTTGATGAATGTAGTATCGGGATTGAAAGGAATATCTGCAGTGTATACTCAATGGGTCTAGGATGTTGCCTTGGAGAACACCCGCTTCAGCATATTAGATGAGGAAGTTCATCGTACGTGATAGTACCTGTCGGATTTTAGAATAAGGTAATAAGTAGGACAGCTTATAGTTTTTAGGCGTCCGGGTGCCACACTCGATCGAAGATTTGCTGTTTCTGTTTAAATTTTTTAATGTAAATCGTTTTATATCATTCAGTCTATCTTGTTTCTTACTTTCTGACTGTAAACACCTTTCTTTCTAAGCAACTAACAATTAATATATAAAATGCAAGCCTAACTTTAAAATAGTTTACAAAATAGCATATTTACACAGGTTAACAGACCTCAGACCGTACTTGTGTCCAGTGTTCTATCGTATTAGTAGAAACGCCAGAAAAAAAATCGACTACACGACGAATACACCTACCACGATTAAATTTATATAATTGGTTCACATTTTGAAAAATAACCTACATAGGATATCAACTGACTATAAAAAATATTGAAAATTCAAGGGGGCAGAATATCTGTTGGATTTTCAACCATTTTTAGAAACTCAAAAGTTTCTTTGCTTTTATGAAGGTTGGATGAGTGTGAGAAGTTTCTGCGTTCATAGTTGAGCATTAAAGTCTTTGTTTGAGAGAAACTGTATTGGGCCTTATGTGACCGTTTCGTTGAAGCTTTTAAACAAAATTTCCAAACGTTATCCAAAATTGACTAATCGGGGATTAAGCCAGTGTGTAAATTCGATGAAGTGGCCACTAAATCATTTACTATGATTGAGATGATTCAGAGCAAGAGTTGGGAGTGAATTGGCCGTTACGAGCAGCAGAAGGGGAGGACTCAAGAACATTATACCGTAATTTTAGTGCGAGGACTAAATTGAGCTACTGTAAACAATACGGCGATGATTACTTAGCCAGAATTGAATTAGGAGAGGGTCAGGGAGAGGGAAGAGAACGGCCTTCTGGATACCGTCACTCGTGAGGGGTGGTTGTTTACGATCAACTATGACATATTTTTATGTGGCCCGCTAGCGGGTACGTATATCTGCACTTAGTCGGCGGCAGTTCGCTATTGTGCACCCCCAATTCAGTTGTCTCACCCCTGCGACAACTCATGGGGGTTGACAAACCGACGACAGGAAATTGTTGGATTATGGAAATATGGATCGAAATTAATTTTATATCTGCCGGAGGGTACTTATAATAATTGTCTTACCAATATTGGATTATGGTGGATGAGTTAGTTAGTGAATACATCAAAGATCTTTGGTTACAAATGTCTTTGTGCATAAAATCATTAAGGAATTCCAGGCTTTTTTGTGTATAAAATCGTAATTTCTCGATTTTCTGATACACTTTTGGATTATACGACATTTTAATTAAGAAGCTTCAATGTTGCGAAGACCTTCATTCAACGGGAGTCTCAATCGGACTACCACTAGTTAAAGATTGATATCGAATTTCTTCTTCGTACCATCAGCGCCTTGCCTATCCCTTCTTATCCCCTTGACGTACACCATCTGATTTGTAAGAAGGATGCATTTTTTGACAAAAGTGATAAAAGTATCTTTTTTCTTGATTCAAATACTGAAAGATTGGAAACCTGATGGAATAGTTTGTAATTTCAGAATTTGATGGGTTTTAAATGAGTTTTTGGTTTTGAAATTATGAAACGTTTATACGCACAAGGACTCTTGACCGAATGATCAACTGGATAAAATAAGTGTTGAAACAAGACAAAACTATTGTACGTATTTCCTACAATATTTGTCATGTCATACTATCCTGCTATGTTCTTTGCTGAGAAATGGCAAAAATTTGCTTTGATGATCGTGAAATCAACAAATATTCTGGCTTTTGTTCAAATATATATTCTGAACAAACCAAACAAACTCCATATCCAGGAATATATTTTTATAAAATACTTATTTCGTGGTTGATTTGTTTATAAAAATCGAGGTCAGTTAAGGTTAGTTGCTTTCCAAATGAAGCACAAAAACAAAAAAAGAATTCCTTTCAAGCTGGCATAATTTATTTCTGAATGGGCTCTAATCAGTTAAATGACCAGTCCTTACCCTTTATTTACACGCTAAATAAAAGTAGGAAAAAAAGATGGTTGTGAAGTGGAACATTTCTCATCTTGGCAAACCCCAGAAAGCCTCAAATTTTATACCTTTGAGCATTAACGAAGCGTATTTCCCACAAACAATATAAATAGAGTGATTCGTGAACTACCTCGACCACCGGGGCTTAGTTACCGATATAGACCAGACCACGGATCTCAACTGTGTTGCACCTGTCGTAATTAAAGATAGGTGGTCGATACATGCTTTGAGTGTGGGAGCGACGCGGATAAGTCTATCAGGTGATAGGTGGGATAGTTGCCAGTCGTCTCAAATGAGCCGTTTTTACATCAGAGGAGAAGAGCCGAGCAATTAGAGAGAGCACAATGCCCACCATTCAAATGCAAGAATAGATACACGGGGACCACCTTTGTGAAAAAACGAACCGCCATTAATATGCTTCGTCTAAACGGGACTATCTCAACATAGACATCAACATATTACAATTAGTTTTGACGAATGGATGACATTTTTCAAAAGCGAACTCGCCCATTTTTACGCTCACTTTTTGTACAGAAGAGCTTTTCGGTTTATTGACCCGTACTCTATAAGAACACTGGAAAAACACCAATGTTTTTCTTAAGGTGTGCAAACATACAATAGACGAACTTCCTTTTCGTTCTTAACGTAAATGTGCCAGTATGCCAACGTGAAATTTAATTGTACACAACACATGCTAAAAGGATTCTCTTTTAATGATGGCCTCCCTGTGATGAACCAGTTTTTGTGTTTATTGTCCGTGAACGGGTTCATTTAAAAAACGAGTACGATTTATACCGTTGGCCCCAAAACTAGAGAAGCAGAACCCTCCATCGAGCCAAATAATAATTTCCTAAAGAACAATGCAAAAACGTCTAGTCAAAATTGTTGCCATTTGCATACAGGAGTGTTAATGACAAAATAATTATTTATATTCAAAACTTCAAAGTAACAAAACATTTCATTTTAACGCTATAAAATCAATAAAATAGTTTAGGTTGGATGTAAATAGCGACAACTATTTCAAAAGAGCTATCAGTCTTTTTCTAGTTAGTATTTTTTTGGTGTAAAAAATTAAATTAATTTTAAGTTGTACTTGGTCAAATATTTATTTACATTCAGAATTTTAAGAATATTTATTTCAGAGAATATATATTCTCTGAGTGACAAAATGATGGGTCCTTTTAAAATATAATTTCTTGATATATCATTTCATACTAAGAAACGAGATACGTTTTAATTATTTTCTACCTTGAACTATCGTAATAGTTTAATAAAAAATGTTTTACTTTCCTTCCTCGTTCTAAACATTTTAAAATTCAATAGCTCCTAAAGTAATAAATATAACAATAAAAAGGAGGATTATTTATACCTTGGAAATGTTTTCAATAAAAATGATGAGGATCATTCTTAAGAATTGATAGTGCAAACACTCTTTGTTTACTGCTTAAAAGCTGCATCTGGTCCGCTTCTTCAGGATACGAACAAGGGGACGTTACGGAGTGGGATCATAAATGAAACTTTGTGATAATATGTCGAAAAATATTAGACAGAACATATTGCCAATGGGTTCTAGGACCCGAGAAAATAAAAATTAAAACATAATTATTTTAAAATATAGTTTTCTCCCATGGTTGTGCATGAGGTTTAAGTTATTCCCAAGTTATTTTAAGTAAAGGTTTTTGGAGGTGTGAAAAAAATATCAACTTTGTTTCTTGATTGACAAATTGTATTTTAACTTACTTAAAAAAATTCGTAGGGCAAGCAAACGCTTGACTTCTATTTTCCAACGATATAATTCTAGCAGAATCTGTATCACTTAAAACTTCCCTCAAACAAATGTGAAACTTAAAAATGGTAAAATTTAAAGAAATTAAATCGCTGGTACGTTAGAAAGAAGCTTTACAGAAAAACCAACAAGAAAAGATAGACTTATTTATTTATTTATCTACAAAATCCGATTGTAAACGCAATTGGGAGAGAATAGAGGATTGTCTAAGAGATAATAAAAATATTAAGGGTGGCCACATTTTGCCTCTCAGTTTAAAAGCGTATTTTGGGTTTTACACTTTTGGTATATTTAACCTAATTAATCTGTTTAATATTGTCTTATCATAAATAAAAAATAATTCGAAATATACTATAACCTTGAAATACAAGCACATGGAAAAATGTACTTAACTTCACTAGATTGTATTTTCTTCTCGGGCCTATTGAACGTTTGGACAAGTTTACAATATTTTTGACCTAGTATAAACCAAAAATGTTTAGTTAAAATCGTTGCCCACACATCTGTTCCCTCGAAAGACCGAATTTCGGTCCAACTAGAAATTATTTGTAAGTCGGTCATCGGCCGTCTTACTCATCCTATTTTAGTCGTAAGTGGTGAGGTATGGTAATCGTAGCGGTTATGGTAATGTCGGCAATTATCTTGGTTTTAAAAAAAATGCGGTCTTGTAGGTTGGCCATCAGGAGAAGTTAGTTGGGTCATCCTGGTCCGCTTATGCTCGCATTTTTCGACCTGATGGTTTAATTGGAATTAAAGCAAGAATAGGCGGAGAATGAGATGCGATTATTTCCATCCTGTTTTTTAAATTACTTTTGAGTTTTGTATAGGTTGAGTTTCAAAAGAAAATAGAAAATGTACTGAGTATAGATGACCGGTTTTGATTATATATCTGCGAGTTAAGCCACCCAAGAGCGTCCAATGTAATTTATTACTCCATGTTTTGCCCCTTGTTTAAAATTTCCGAATTATTTTCAGCAAATCGGAAAGCAATTAACTTTACTATAAACTGGATCGTGTACGGTCCAGCCAGTAGCAATTAAAGGTCAGATTCGCAGTTTATAGACGTGAGTCGCTCAATCTCCTTTCTAATAATTAGACGGTGGTTTTCGTCATCAAGATATCCAAAGACCCAGTCCCATCGTAACACCCGATCTCCGAACGCTATATATTATTAACACCTAAACAAGTCGGCCGAGAAAAGCCCATCACGTTATTAATCATTCCTTTTCACGCATATTGTCCGACATGGTCTGTTATTTTGTGTATTTATTGACTCGGAGGTGGTGAGACCGTTAGGATTTATTACATTTTTATCGTTACGACTTTCCTTTGTTCAAATTCCGAGGATGGCCGTTTGTAATAAATCACATTAGAAACGAGTAATAACAACTGATAATGAATCTCGAGCCGGTCCCGTACTCGGGCACGCCGGTTTTCGCTTTCGTACTTACCTCGAGAGGATTTTTGAGACGCAGCCGTGGGATACCCTGAGCTGTCGTGAGATGTCACATGGCCTGACGCCGTTGTGGGCCAGTTCGACTATTCTTTGCCTCACGACGTCAGGTAAAGGCCTCCCGTTTACAAACACACCGCCAAGCTGGTTCACACCACCATGACCTGAACAGATAAAAAGAAAGAAAAAAGGTTAATTCAAATGCGAAATAATAAGCGGAGAATATTTATTTTTCACGATACCGTTGAAACAATATAAAACGTTAAACGTGATTCACCTCTTTCTACTGTACTAACATCGATTGGATACGTTAATTAAAAAATAAAGATAATTATCAAGCGTATCAATATTTCTTCTCATAGTATTTCTAGTATAATTCACAAACTCAAAATTGGAAATTTCAGCACATCCTGAACAACGAATTGTCTAAATGTGAAATCAATCTTCCTTTAAATACTCAGTAAATCACTATTAAACATCTTTTCAAGCCTGAAAAGTAAATTCAATAGACTTGTACCGTTAGAGTTCTGAGATCTTCATCATCTGACCATCAGTTTTTGAAAAGGAAGCCTTTTACCTGGCCTCTCCCTGACTACTTTACTCTGATTTGGGACTTCAAAAAGCCCAAGCCGGCTGACATTTTACACCTGATTGCGGTTTCGAAATATCTGCTTTAAGAAATGCCGTAACATTTATTTTATATAGTATTTCAAGTATTGATTTCATATTTCGCTTATTTTAATTAGAAAGCCTTGTTGTTTGATCAATTATGGCAAATTATCTAAATTCTGGATAAATTAATGAAATGTAAAAATTCACAAATTTGGTTGTACCAGTCTTGAAAACTATAGGGTTCAATCTAAGGGATTTAAATAATACGTCAGAACTCGAAAAAAGATTATATGGGAAAATCATATCTATCAAAGTAATAATTTGATCAAAGTATCTATCAAAGTACACAAAAACTCAAAATAGAATGGATCTTAACCAAATTTGATCTCGTTACAAAGATTTGTTCTTTATTATCTAAACCCAACTTTTACAAGTGAGTTTTTATATGTTGTTTTTCTTGTTGTTACATTTGTGTTTTATAGATCTAAGGTGGTTTTGTTGCATTATTATTATGCAACGTTTTTTATGAAAATTCTTTATTTAAAATAGGGCTCATAAGCAGATTTTTATCTGAAACGTGACTAAGGGGGCGAACGGAGCCCTGAAATGCATTGCAACCCTTTTTTAAATAAAGAATTTTCGTAAAATTTTGTTGCATAAAATACAAAATAAAGAAAGCCACACTAAATCTATCGAATTGAGATTAGCTAATAAAGATCTGATTATAATATATTTCGAGGTTAACCACTCTGAATTAGAATCAAATGAAAATAGTTTAATTTGTAACAGGCAGAACCTGGAATTTTTTTTAAATTTCCGATATAAGTAGCATCTAGAAGATTTTATCTTGATAAATACTGTACATTTTTTGTATGTTTAGCACGAGTCTCGGCGATCACTGTATTTACGCATGAGCATTGATAAGTTGAGATTAATCAGACAATTAAGATAAAACAGCCATCAGGTGTATATCAACTATCTTCAAATCATGAACTATATGAAGGAGGAATCATCGCACTTTCTTTTAATTTGCCTGATGTTTTTGTGTGTCTGTGTTGTATTTATGTCTGTTTATTACAATGAATGTAATTTATTAGAGGCATTTTAAGATATCGATTTAATTGTCATGCAAAAGCAGATAGTAACAGAATCGAGACGCTCAAATGACTGCAGGTTGAAAAATAAGCGGGAAAGACCAAAAATAAGTAAAACCCACAGAGGTTGGCGATGTGCTCAGCTAATTGTCGGCCCCTAAACTTCCCACATTGGTATTATTTTATTTAGCCCTGTTTATTAGACTATTAGACAAAAATATCTTCTTTGATTTATTATGCCCTAAAATATTAGAAGAGGCTAAAAGTTTGTATAAATTTTTGGTTTCAGCACTAACAATAAGACTTTTTTATTAATACATTTATTTATTAAAACTGATCAAATGAGAATATCAATTAATTTTACAATGATTAATTTAGAAATGGATAAATAATAAATTCCACTCATTAGCGTCACAGTTTATCGTAGGGATTCCTTCCCAGCAACCAATAAAGTTGAAGGTATTTGAAATCAAGTTCTTTTCTTTTTGATATATGAAAATTTAATTTTTTCTCTATTGTCAAGGACTGCTTTACCATTGAAGACGTTTGGTTTGTCTACTAAATATCTATTTGTGAAATTTACAAGTACGTTTTTCTAGTCGCTTATTTTCACCTTCCAATTATCTGTCCATTTATGGATGCTGTTCACTGCCATTCGCAGCCGGTTCGTTTTTCGGCAGTCATCGACAAATGTTGCGACGGTTATGTTTTCCATCACTGGTACGGTATACAGCAAGTATAACACGGGGCCTAGGATGCTACCTTGCAGTACGCCAGCCTTGACTTTAAATTACTCAGCAGAAAGACAGAGATAATTTATTGTATGAGAATAACTTAATTACCATGCAAGGCAAGATTTAACTTATTTTCATTGATATATTCTTTTAAATTTAATTTTTGATTTCTTTTCATTCAGCAAAACCGAAGATTAAGTGTTCATATTTGGTGTTATGTTCTTTCATTGCTTTTGTTAACTTTTCATTCCGTATTTAATAGACTTTCAGCTTTCTTTGCTAAGCTGCAGTACAAGTCTGTTCGTTTTCTAGGTGTTTATTTAGTCATAAGTTACATTTTTTAAAGACATGGCACAAAAGGGTTTTAGTAGAGAAAACAACATTTTTCCAATATTGAATACGACTGGTAAAAAGATACTCATGAATTTGGAATAAGCGGTAGTCCGAAGGTGCGTGGTCGGATCTAACCGATAATCAATCGAGATTAAATGCATATTGTTGTTAACTATTATTGATTCATCTAGGGTTTTTATGCGTTTATGCGTTGTAAAATGGAACGATTGCCAAATTAACTTTAGCATTCTAACCTAGGTGACTAGTAGCCATTACATTTTAATTTGTGGCTACTTTAGTTTATTATCGGATAAGTTATGAAAGTTGGCAAAGCATTCCAGAGAAGAAAAAAAGAGGGTTTGAATAAGCAACCTATCACGGATATTTAAGTGTATCAACCCTCGAGAATCTCCTCGCAATAAACACCGTCATGATTTGAAGTCGTGAGGTAGATAGTGCTCGTATGAATATGCATGCCGCTCGAGAAGACCCGGTTGCGTTAACAGGTCGTACTTTTCCCCTCCAAAACTGAGCGGCCTTTTATCATTTATCGAACCAATTGGAAAAGTCGGATCGTGAAAAGGCGGCTCCAATTTTCCGCTCGGGTATATTATACACGGAAGACTTGTGCGGCCCGTTGAGGGAGGTTCGTCGTCACACAATATGCTTTCCCTCATGATTTACGAGTAGGTAGGACACAAAGCCAAGGGTGGGTTCCATTATACTCTCGCTCCCTTATGTACCTACCGTCCAATGTTTCTTAATACACCATCTGATGTGTACTATAAGTGTAGGCCAATTTTTTTTATTCCCCTTTTGAATAAAAGTCAAAAAATAGGTCGAGCATTATTCTTTATTTCTTTTTGCTAAATAAATCAAAAGGTTCATCAAAATCAAAAATATACTAAAAAGACTGTAATTAATTTGCGTTATAAGATGTTTATATGAAAACAGATTTATTTCTCCTTTATTGTAAAAAAAATCTTTCTATTAATTATGTTGACAGCTATGCAGCCATCTCTTGCAATTTATGGGCGCACTAACAATAGTAAGACGCATTCCTTTGCTTGAAACGAACATATTTTTATATCCGCATATAATTCGGCAAATCTCCAACATACCTCTTCATATATATAATTCCTACGGGGGAATTTAAATATTTCTGAATAGGCCAGATGACAGTTTATTTTCGTCATGATTATTAAAACCTGACTAAATTTAAAATCTGTATTTTATAAAAACTGGCAGAAAATTTATATGAAAGAGAATACTAAAGAGAACTTTCAGAGCAGTAGATAACATTTGTCATAAATTAAAAAAAAATTATGTGTAAATAATTTTTAATACCCACTGGTTGCATAGAACTTTACAGGCACATTAAAACAGTCTATTAATGGTGCTAAATCGCTATAAATTATTTACAGTTTATATTATTTGTACTTCAATAGCTTTAAAAAAAAGTACTATTTTAGAAATTAGAAATAATTACTAATCTGAAATATGATTGATTCATTAGTATTTAACATCAAATTTATTCTGTCTGTGATTGATCCTTCTGGACCCTCTCGTCCTCATCTTTTTGTAGAGATATTCTGAATTAGAGCGACTCAGCGAAAGGTGATTTGAGTCTGGAGGGTAAATAAACAGCGAACGAGGTTGCTAAGGATAAGGACGTCCCAAATTCCGGGCCTGACCACCGGTCCTCTGAAGCTAAAACTTCAATAAAAAATATGATAAAAAAGAAATCAAAGCGCTAGTGGGTTAGATACGCAGAGGAGTTCCTATGTATTAAAAGCACGGTCGATAAGTCAGAGGATCTGAATCGTAGAAGAAGAATAATCATCCTCAGTTGATTAAGAATAGGCAAAGATTTTGAAACATGTCCGCATGTCCGGCTTGCAAAGAAAGATTGTTCGATTCGTACGACTTAATTGATGTAATTCTTTGGCTCTATATAGAGAGCGTGTAGGAATACCACCCGATATGAGAATTGTGCAGGCATGGCGTATTTGTTATTAATTCCTGGAGAAACCAGGGCTGTTTTGTTGTATATAATGTATATAGATATCTCGTTTTAAGTTTATTGAGATTGCATGTATTTATTAGCGTGAAAGTATAGTGTTGGATAAAAAGCGGGAACATGTGCGGAGTTAAGCATTTATAAACCAGTCAATCAACGTCAAAATTAAATAAACAAATTTTGATTTTTTTCTTCTATTGTTTTATGTAATAATTATTATACAACTCAATTGATTGCAAACACTTTGCTAACAATAGACAGTTTTTTGCCATGTTGCACGTAAGCTATGTCAATGATGATAAGACATTTTACTGCAGCCTTGTGATATTTAAGGATTAATATATAGTAACTATTTAGGAAGTGTATTAATA